ACTCCTTCGACCGCCGGGTTAACCAAGATTCTTTTGTACGATAAGTTTGTTTGAACTTGAATTATAGAGATTACTTAAAAAAGTCAAATTAAGAAAAATTTCAAAGTATCTTTTCAAACTCAATTCGGTATTGAGCGTGTATAAGGGTAAGAACCTAAAGGAAAAAACTTCGGAAAAATGCAAATGTTGAAGTAGGACAGATATCTGTCCCGGTTCTTCGTTGCAGAGGACAAGAAGTATACCTGAAGACTAATCTAAATTTATGGATGGAGAAGTTGCTCTACTCTATAAGTATAAGTAACGTGCTTGTTATAACTTATCTTAACTATGATAATGAGACTACCACTCCCCCTGTTTTGATAAAATAATGGCTTACTTCAACTTTCTAAATACGTTCAATAAGTGCAATGAGATGAGAATTTCAAGTGGAAAATAAAGTAAAGTACATTACTGAACACTGACTAAATACATAAACTGCAGTAATTCTTTTCAGAAACATTTAATCAGAATTTTTTCAATGTGTCGTTTATTCAGTTTTCATTTGTTATAAAATTGAATAATTATATTAAAGAATAAATTTTTTCTTTTATTCTCACGAGTGCTATCAACATCCCTATCAGTTTTTCAGTATTGTGCGTGCATCCCTTTTTCGAACGACGAGTATTGCGATAGAACGCGGGTTTGCGTTGCGAGGTTCTCGATGAGGGTCGCCGATAACTTCGACGAGTAAAGTCAACATCGAACGCGACAGCGTATGGTGGCGTCAAACGAATTCGCCATCCTGGAACCTTCGACGCACATTTCCCACGTGTTCGTTGTGCGTACCGTGGTAACGAGCGGGCGATAAAGGACGAGGAGAGTGCGTAAAGCGCATAGAGAAGCGGCCGAAGGGTCGAAGGGACGATGGCGAACGAGCGGCATCATCGGACGTCACGGCGGATACTTCCGATGACGTCGTGCCGTCCGCCCGATAGCGAACCGGTTAAATTGGATGCGAATGCTATTGCCGCGATATCCCGTCGGAATCAGAAAAGCGAGAATTGCGTGGGGGTTTAATTCCAGCGATACCCCGAAGAGAGGAGCGATACGGTGCGAAACTGCATAACGGCAGTATCGACGGGAAGGATGCTAGGAATGTCGGGAGGATCGGTTTTGCACTGATTGTGAAATCCGGATTGTCAGCCGCGTTAATAACGCGTTAGTAAATCGGGAAGTATAAGAAGCGTGAAATTTATTGTTTTATATTTATATGATGCACAGCAGATTTTGATGTAAAGTATAGTCTTTTATTTGTAGATTGCTCAACATTAATTTTGATGATTTATTTTCTTAATAAATTTGATGAATCGCCATCTTTCTTAACAATCTTTAGATTTTCAACATTATTGTTGTGGTTTTCTGATCCTTAAGACGCTCTTTATTTTTAATTTATAAATAATATTAATTTGTCAACATTTTTGTTAGCAAAGATATGGATTCTAAGTTGCTGAAGAATCAGTACATGAATTTTCTTTTAATTAACATACTAATCAACAGCATTCTAAATTAACTATCTGACGACACTATTTGCGTTCCAAGGGAGATTAGAACTTGAACACGTTACAACGACTATTAGCGATAACTTCTTCCATGATGAAGCACAAGCAGCGAAACTTGTGAGCGAAATGGAGAAATAACAGCACTGTATATACGAAAGTTATATAAGGTCTGCATAATAACGCCGTGCTATTATCATGGAAAATGGAACATTCTTGTCCGTTATAATATTCCCGTAATTTATATTCAAAGATTTCAAAGAAGTGTATTGCGTAATAAACGTGATATATATTGTCCCGAGAAATTTTCGCCGCGAGTATTTTTTATTAGCGGTGGCGATTATTAACATGAAGAAAAAGATCGCAATTTGTAATACATTTTACGTTGTATTACATATATTACTTTGTAACCACTGTCAGACGGAGTTACTCAAACTTTCCTTAGGAATATCATTTACTCACATGTACACATGCAATCTTGTAACGCGCGTTTCACGCGCCTCCGCGCGAGCATAATCAGGCTCGATAGCAGAAATCGATAGTGGCTGCGAGCGGCCATCAAGTCGACCGCGAAAGGGGTAAGCACGGCAGGTATATGTGGTTTGTTAAAAATCCCGCATCGACAAGCACCGGCTGCGGAGTGGATATCGGCTCGGCCGCGTTCGCCTGAATCGTCGCGCTCGTCGAGAAACAAGTTCGCCGAGGAAAAGGGAAGAGTCGAGGGAAAATATAGGAAACGACTGAAGCGCATATACGCGCGATATCGGCTCTGATGTTGCTCGACGACTTTCGATCGATTCACGCGAATCGGCACGTTGTCATCCGGCTTTACAGCTCTATGCTAAATTCCGTATTTGGAAGTAACGGCCGCCAGCGGAAGATCGGCCTGGCATGGTACGCGCGTGCAAAAACCAACGTAATTATAGATCCCGAATCGAGCGCGGCGAGCGAGAAAATTTATGTGAAAGGAAATTTTCAGAGTGTCTGAAACCGAAGCAGCAGAATTGACGGTTGGGCGTAACTGAAATCCGCTTTCTGCCAATAACAGTCGCGAGTCCTTATCCGCTGATTGATCTCAGACGCACCGAGAAGCAAGATGGTAATCCACGCCGTCGCGTCGAGACGATGATCCATCGTGACGGTTAAACCTGACGGATAGGATAGAGTAGACAAATGTGTGCGAACTTCGCATTTTCAACCGCGACAAGATTTTTACTTTTCTCGTTCTGCGAGCGAAATAAGACGCAAATAACTGTTACACTCCCTTCAGACATCTGCAGCTAAGAAATTGAGTTACAATATACATGCCACTGCGTGTATATCGTATACTGACTATCACGTTACGCTATAATAATCGAATTGCAAAGCAAAGCAGGAATCAAGAATCGAGCGAACAATTTTTTACAAATATTGCCTGATGGATGGCGCTCATTTGCAAGAGTGATAGGGCAGTGAATCGCGAAGCTATTATACTAATTAAAATCTGTTATCTTCAATATGAAGCTGTAAATCGCGACCGTGAGATCTAATTAATTCCGATACGTATTAGAAATGTATCAAACGTGCAATAGGAACGTGTTAAGCCGTCTCGTACGGTAAAGACAATAATCAATAGTGTTTGAATGTTGAGTTGCACACGGGCTGACCGAGGTAGGAATTAAACGAGTAGAGTCAGGCTGGTGCCTCTTCATCTTCGCCCGAGCCGACTTTCCCCGATCACCGCAAAGGCCGCTCGATTTGCTCTTATCTCCACTGTGCCCCACATTCCGATAATGATTCTACGCAATCGGCAACCACTAATCTGTGTTTCGATCGCGTCTTTTTTTCCGCTTTTCAACGTGCATTGCAGCGTGTTATTACTGGCGGTGGAAATCTCGCCGAACCATAAAGCAAGTGTTCTCGATGTTCAGATTTTTCCTTCTTTTCTTCCTTCGAATCACGGGCCTTAATTCACCCCGCACTGCTGCCTTGAAGTAAAGTTATTTCTCGTTCAAATTGTCGCTCGTAACTGATGCAGGTTTCGTTGATACAAAGTCGTAAGAACGGAAGTGATACGTCAAGTGAATGAGAACAAAATTTTATGACGTACAAAATGAACTTTTTGAATTATCTTGAATAAGAAAAGATTCTAACTCTTTTTTTTTCTAAATATTTTTTAGAACTTATCGAGTTTATTATAAACCAGAAGTCACGTGTATATCTAATTTGAAAATACGAAGATATGAAATTGATTAAAGAATATTATTAAAATATGTTCTGTGTTTATTAACTTAATTAATTTTACTAACAGAAACAATTAAATATTCAATATTAAATCTCCGATTTAATCATTGTTATACTGAACGCATATTGAATAAATTACAAGAACATATAATAAAAAACAAGAACAAAAAATAATAAAATGATAAAAAAATAAAAAATAATAAAAACTACAATATTTTCGTGACAGAAATAATAGATATTATAGATTGATATGTATTCTTACAGATAAGTTGTTTTCTTTCAACTATTTTTATTGTGGATTAAATTGTTGACAAATTGACCGATTAAAGTTTGTCAAGCGAGAAATTAACAATTGTTTTTTTACTTGAAAATCGGGCGAGTCGTCGTTGTTAAGCATGTCTGGGAATGATTAAACTTCGTCTAACTTTTTGCGTTTATGCTTCATAACTTCGTTAAGTTATTAAGCTCACGAAAGGAATTATAAGAGAGAATTTCTCACAAACTCCTATTAATCCCTAAACCATAGAGAAGCATCCGGCTAAGAAACTTTAGATCCCACCCCGATTTAACATAAAGAACTATATTTAGAAGAGATGACATATTTAGAACCACACGCCGTGCACTCCAATTTCACCAAGGCGTCATAACTGTATCGACTTCAGTTCCATAGAATATAAACTATATATTTTTCTGTTTTACATATTCACAAAAAATAAAAAAAAAGAGATTATTGATTCACTTGAAAAACACGATGAGCTTCGGCACGAAGGCTCGAGCGAGCTGCTGATACGGGAAAAACGAAAATTCGTCGTAAAGTTCGTCTGAAGTTTGTGCGTTCCTTCAGGCTGCGAATCTAACGATCGGCGATCGAGAGATCGCGGTAGCGGAGGCGAGGCAGCTTGATATTCGTCGGATGCGCGTCGCGGAGCCCGGCCGCGTATGAGCGCGGAATAAATTATCCCGGTGAGTCGGTCCGGTCCCTCCTGCGATCTCTCTTCGCCTCTCTCCCTTTTCAACCACACATCGTTCTCTCTCTCTCCCTCTCCCTCTCTCTCCGTCTGACTATCTTATTCCGCCTGCTCCGGCAATCACTCCCCGGTTGTCGTTCGTTCATCTCTCCCCGTCTCGCTCGCTCCCACCGCCGGAGTGTCTATAATGACTCCTCGTGGTGGGACGATACCGGAAGTGAAGTCAGAACGGCGGAACCACGACGTTCACTCAATGGAAAGTTTGAGCTCCACCGGCGCGGGCTCCTCTAAGGTGGCTTATACTTACACGCTCGCTCTCCCGTGCGCGCCAAAGAAAATCCGCTTCTTTCGACGCGCGGTGCGCTCGGCATTCGCGCGTACGCGAGTCACGCGCGAGCAGCTCTCGAGGAAAAGTCTCGCGTCGATATCTCGTCTTCGAGGTGAATCATTGAAAGTGCGGCATTTCGAAGAGAGCTAATTGGATACTCGGGAGTGAAAGCTCTAGGATTTCGAGATGTTAATATTCGGACGGACATCCAGGAAGATTGAGAGAAGAACAAAGGACCGGGGAAAAATAATCCGAAAATCCAGAAGCAATAATGTGAACTGATGAGGAACTGAATTACAAGTAGATGAGAATCAGTTTAATTTGGTGTGCCGTGGAGTTTTATCGAGATCGAGGAATAAGAATAAAAATTGGATGTCTACGGATTTGATTTAAAAGAATAAGTGAATGGGGTGGAGCTCGCCAATTGATTTCTGTTATTGTTATACGCGCGGAAGTTGCCTATTCTGATCGAAGAAATTTCGATCGAATGCTAAACTTGGAGAGAAGATGGATGATAGATCGTTCAATCAGAAAGAAAATTTGCAACTGAATTAATGAAGAATAAAAATATCTAGGAGAAGCATCTATTTGAAATTGCATTATCGTGGCAAACAAAGTACATTTTATTGTGAAGCGCCGGAAGTCTCGGGGAGCAGCAAATAACATCGTCGAGTAATCAAGGCAGCGGTTGAATAAATTGGATCGGTTGGGGATATTACAAGAAGAGGGAGAGAAAAAGGACGGTTGAAAAAGGACGCACGAGGAAAGTCGCCATTAAGCTATATGGCAAAGAAAAAGCTTCCTTCCCGCGAAAAAGAAAGGAAACGATAAATTTGCGGGAGACGTTGTACATTAACTTCCATTTCGGAGGCAATGCGCGAAAATTTGAAAGTGTCGTATTCGTGATATATTATCCGCAGTCTCGTCTGAAAAATCGAAGAAAACGATCGACACACCGTTCCGCAATTTTCTCCTCGAGGCAAATACGCCGAACATTTCGGTTCGTCAGCGCAAATTTTTTCGTGGAAAACCCGTTGAACGAGGAAATTTAATCCGTAGTCGACTTCAAATGCGTTCTCTTTTCATGCGCAACCGCATGAAGAATTGAGGAATTTTCACTGCGCCGAACAATAAGCATTTTCGCGTGAAAGTGACAAGATGATGACGGCCTTTGAGAAAAAAGAAGATCCTGTGATTTTCGTGGGCGAGACAAAAGGTCTGGTCTGTGAAACGGAAGTCCGTCGCGAGGAAGAATGCTAATTAACCCAATTCCTCCCGGAGTTGCGTTAACAAACCGGCGTACATTTTAATTCGTTGTATTTATCACCCGGCGTTTCCTTAATTACAGTGAAATCATTGTCTCGTGCATCAATTACAAAAAAGGCGCGCGGAATCATAAATATAAATTAGCGTGTCTCAACGAGTAAAGCAGTCTCCGTGCGAAGAAATTAGCGAAACTAATTTGAGATAAACTGCCGCAACGTCTTAATGAAGGAGAACTAATGAACTTTGTAATCTTATAAAGTGCTCGGCGTGTCCGACGCGCGACAGCTGGCAGTCTGTCATCGCCGGTGCTCCTTCTCGTGTAAAACAAAGAATTTGCTGATGTGCGACGAAAAGACTTTCAATTTGTACAAGAAATCGCGTCTTGGGTGGTCCTCAAATCTCGGTCATCATTCGCACTTCTTTTCTCGCGAACAACACAGTATGCTTTTTTTATCATTTGCGAGCCAGTATAAGTCTTAAATCATAAACTGACGATTATAGTGATCGACCCCGAACATGGGCGAGAGGATTTTACCTAAGAACGCCCATTATCCGAGGCGACACGCAGGTTGAACGGACGTGGGGCTTGTCATTGTCGATAATTCGTTCACTAGGGTGACCATCGAGGGTGAAAACAGGAGACTCGAAATTTGTGAAAGTATTCGTCAGAGATGGTCAGCCAACACGCGATGGCCACCACCGTCCGCAAAGTTAAGCAGGAGAATCGTCTCAGGCGGCAGAATCAGAGCCAAGGTACACATAAACACACGCTGGTTTCTCGCGAGCGTTGGTCTCTCGCTAACAGACAATTCACGTTCTTCAAGAACGTAGATTCATAATGCAACCTGCACGTTCTTATCTCCAAGGAGACCTTAATCGCGATCTAGTTACGCCCGAAACGCATATATTGAATTAACGCGGAGTAGTTAGAGCGTAACAGAAATATAATACGACGTTAATAACGAACCATACATATACGTGTGCTGTACAACGATCATTCTGCTGTAATTGCATTGAAAATATTATGAGACTTTAGTGCGTAAAATGTCGAGGGAAACGAGCGAGAGATTGGGAGAGCGAGGAGGAAATATATTTACGAGCGTAGACTTAGCGCGCAGTAATCATACTTTAGCTAGTATCTTATCCCGAGTCATTGAATTATCTTATTCACGGACTTTATGCACTTTGATATTTTATCGAATGAACGACCGGCTTACGTAAATATTACTGAGCGAAATTTTCCTGGTATTTAAATGAAAATGTAGCTTATGTTTTTTTATTTACGAACAAATCCTTATTTATAAAGAAAAGATTCTTAATATAGTTTTACGTGAATCTATGTATAATACATAGCAATTTCCTAGGCATGTCTTTCATTTGAATAAGTTGTTTAACACATTCATGTCAGGCTCACAGATGCTTCAGGATGTGTCGTGGCGATGAATATATTAATATTTATTTCACCCTTCTTATATGTATATATATATATATATATATATATATATATATATATACACACATACACATTTTCTTTACCAATTTTATCTTGCATTAATGTATGACACCAAAATTGACAATTAAAAGTAAAAGAGTAATGTTAATTAAAAGCGTTAAAAAGCAACGTTATTATCCTATGTAAATAATCTTATTAATTTACATAAAATTTTCAACACTGTAAAGTATAATTTGGCCAAGCCGCCACGTCTGGATTCGTTGCATTCGTAACTTCTCTTTCGACACATTTTTAACTTAATTTAAATTAATAAGTTTTATATCGGAGCCAAAATGTTAAAAGTGATTACGTATTTTCTCTCGTACTTCATCACAGATGAAGAGGGGCCTTACAAGCCAGTGCCACCACCGAAACCGGTGTCGAACAATCAGAAGAATCAGGACGTTCAGCAGGACGAACACCGGGAGCAGCCGGTAGCCGACCGTCCATCATTGCGTACGACTTCCGGTCCGGAAAGGACCAACGTCTCCGAGGACGGGCAAGTTCGTAGTGCAGCCGGGCAGCCCTTCGCACCAGAATACAGGATGCCACCCTTGTACGGGGAGGAGCAGAGTTCGGGTCAGGCTCAACAGGCGGCCAGTTTGCAAACTCATAGCAGCAAGTTCCCGGTAAGTGTGATAATGCACGTGAACGATGAAATTATAGCACCCATTATTTTTGTCAATCACTTTCTCGCCGTGATTTCCGACATTTTTTTGGAAAACTATAATTGCAAAGCATCATAAAAGTCTTATTATTTTATTAATCTCTTTTTTTTTCTTATTTCTACTTATAGTAATAATTAAAACAGAATGCATTTGTGGGAAAATATATTATGGAATCATATTTTTATTACATAAATTTTGTATTATGTTTTAATTTTTAAAAATATGACACTCGAATATATTCGATACGAAGATATGAGATAATGATCATTTTCGACATAAATAAAACAGCCAAAAACGGATAAAATGTCCGATGGATATAAAAGTATAGATACAATTTATTGACATTATCGACATTTTTTTTACTTTATAACAGAGTATAAATCAAATTACAATAGATGTATTATCTTGTTTTCTTTCAATGACATAATTTCGTGATATGAAATTAATAAGCTACAAAGATTATGAGATTGAGACATAAAATGCTCTTAATAATAATACTAAAAATTGAAGCCGTGATATTATTTTGGTCGGCTTAATTTTGCAAATTATTAAAAACAATAAATTTTAATATCGTCGATATATTTAAATGGCGCGTCGATATTTTTTACGAATCAATTCCATTTGTATATACAATAGCGTAAAAGTTTCGAAACCGCACCGGTTGGTTAAAGTCTACTTTCTCGTGTATAGAAAACTTCTTTATTTAACTTTTCGAACTGGTACTCACCTGGGGCCAGTGTACCTTCGCTCAACGAACAGGTCACTAATTATCCTACGAGGGCGAGCACAACACCTTGCTCGCTTTATGTCGCCCTATATGTACCAGGAACAATGAAACGAAAAGAACCGAGCGACGCCGCGACGCATAATGTAGGGTAGGCAATGGTGACTCTAAATCTTTGCTGTCTCGCGGCATATACTTTTTTTTTACACTCCTACTGAATGCATCTTTTTACATTCTAGTCGTGTATCTGCATTTCGTAATGATTTTTTCTCTCTCTGTTATACCCGCTTTCAACGGTATTTTTTACTCTGCTAAAAATTTTATTAAAACGGATACGCCCCATTATGGCTGACACGCGTTCGCTTGTTTGCGCGTTGAAAAATTAAAGCGTCTATGGTCGTATATGGTGCTTTTGATAAATGAAATTTTGCATCTGGTAAATAGAGAGAAAATTTCATTACTGTTCTCAACGACTTTCCATTTAATTATATTTCTTTGTATAAAGAGGATATTCATGTATAATTTTTTAATAAAAATAACAGTATAGGTGATAATGATATACAATATTTGTTGCGATGACGCTTTAAATTATTTGCTGCTTTTGAGTAGCTTGAATTAGGGTAATTTGTGTATGCTCATGAACGAAATAATTAACGAGCCATCGAGCGCATTAATTTCAAACGCAACCAAAATTGATGAAAATTGATTAGAGACATTGATGGATGTCTTTATAATCAAATGCGCGTTTGCAATAGCTGTATAAAATGTTGAAAGAAAAAATTTTTACATTTAACAACCGTATTTGTTTATTAATTTAAAAAGTCAATTCTTAAAAAAATAGAGAATATTCAGAAAATCACAAAACTCTCAAAAATAGTAAAATAATTTGTTTAATTATTTTCTTGAAATTTTAGGTCTTTTTAAAATTATTAAAATACGCTGATTATAAAATACATTGTTTAAATAGATCTTAATTTTTAATTTAAATTTTTAATTTAATATTTTATATCGGAATATATTAAATGTAAAAAATATAATAGCAGACGACTTCTCTTGAAGCTCTCTAAGGAGAAAATTACTTCAGATTTATTAATAAATTCGTTATTAAAATGAAAGTTGCAGATTCTAGGACATCTAATACACGTTCGCGATAGCAAGTTAGACTTTCTTTCCCTCGAAGGTTATTTATAGCTGCCATCGCGCTTACGCTTTCGATCGGACGCTCGTTAATTGTAGAAACTTCGGTATAGTGTCGCGATTTCCCGCTGGTGTTTTCATGTAATTACCAAGCCGGTGTGCGCCTGATGACGCGACGAATACGTCCGACTGTCTGAATAAGGAGATTCTAGGAGTGCGTTTCGATGCGTCTTCTTGCGGAGGCCGGAATTAAGTACAATAAGAAGAAACGAGTAGAATTTACAATGTTACGCTTTATTCAGCATAAAAGGTCAGGTTTTCTAGAATTATACTAGATTTCCTGGACACGATGAAACCGGGCTCAATTATAACGCCGCTACGAGAAAATCGCGAGAAATACCATAGTACATTTTTACTAACAGACGGTTAAAACTCACATTTCTACGCATTAATTCGGACGAATATTCAGTCACACATTTTTTCTATCAGTTTAAATCTGGAAGCGTATTTGAGTGATGAGTTCTGTACCTGATTGCTTTATCTCGTGCTCTATCTCGGTCATCAATTATTATCACGTTATTATCTCCCCATTGACGTGCGTAATTCATTTTTAATTTCTAATTTTTCCCATTGTCTATCGAGACTTATCTCTTGATTCTCGTCGCCTGACCTTAGCCAATTCCGGTTAATTAGCTGAGCGTATACTCGCGTAATCACGCGGCACGAATGGCGCGCGTTGATCTTCCGCGTTCGACGTTAGGAATTAGCACGCGGTCCATGGAGAAATCTTCGGTAACAGTTCGTTGTACGCTAGTTACGTTGTTCTTGGGAAGGTTCTCAGAGGTTCTCCATCGAGACAAAGGGGGCATCATACGCGCGTACCGTTCGCCGGAAGTCGGGTAAGGGGGCTTTACTCGCGATAGCCGTTTAGATACGCACCGCATTTCTCCGCAAGAATCGGCACGACCGCAGGTGAGAATAAATCGGGGCAATCCAACGTCTTACGCTTCGCTCTTTGCCATTACAGTCGGTGCCTTTATTGCCAATTCCCCACACTGTTGTTGGCTCGCGTGACGTCATATACGCACGAATACGGGCTTGTCCGATCGAAGAAGAAAATTCGAAAAGCAGCGTAGCCCATCACGCTGATTGACCAGAATATCCGATCGCGAGTCAACGTTAATTAACTCTTTTTAGTTAAATATTATCATGTCGCGATCAATTGTTCTATAACGTTTTAATTATCGCGTGGCATAAAAGCCTACGGACTCTGCGAATTAATTTTCCTTTGACAGGGAAAGAGATTATATTCTCGAGTTTGGATCGTTGCTTTCTGCTTTAGAACAAAAATTCAATTAAAATATGGAACATTCTATGTAATGAATTGAATAGACTAAAATAATTTTGACAAACTTCTGCATCTGATGGATGAGCTTTGCAAGATCAATGAAATTTTAATATAACTTTTTATTTATTATGCTTTCTTATTCCATATCAAATAACTCAATAATTAAATGTTGGATCAAAATTCTAAAAAGGGGTATAATTGCTTTGATAAAAGAAATAATCTGACTTTATGCATTCTTTGTTTTAATTGTAATTTGAAAAGCATTGATTTTATTTATCTCGGATTAACTATATAGACTATGTAGAATATATCATACGCAACGTATCTAGAACGTATATATTTGATTAAGACTTCAAGATACAAGTTTAAGGGTACTGGAATGTCTGTTCCACATGCGAACAACAATAGCGATCACGTTCGAGATTATTGCCACTAAAGGAACCACCGTAAAAAAGACCCGTCTCTTCCATCAAAGATTCAATGTCTCTTAAGTGCCGGGGCACAAGAGCCCCGTAGTTAGGAGGCAATTCAATATCAGTGCTGCAGGTGCAGTCGTTCGGGATTTCTATCACATCCTATTATCATCCCCGGAAGGCGCGAATCGATCGGTATTTTTATTCGCGAGCTCACGCCCCGACGCACCGCGTTACGCGCCTTCTCGTTCCTCGACGCCGCCGCCGTTCCTCTATTAGCACGCTTTATTTCTTCCGCAAAACATCGCCACTCCGTCGTGCCTCGAGCTTTTTTTATAATCCAGCTTTATGACGCAATATACCGCCGCGCGCGTATACGCGTGTAGCGCGCGCGCGCGTGTGTGTGCGCTTGTCGATGTGTGACGTCACTTTCTGTCGACCACCTTACGGGAGATGCCGATGTAACTATACTAGGTCTTTTTCGAAAGAGAAAAATACGCAGTCATTTGGATTACTTCCAAGAGAAAGAGCAAGAAAAAGAATGTAGGTATGAAGAAAATTACGTTGCGTACATTTCACAAGTTTTCCGATAAATCTCTTCGTTCTGTATTTTCGCTACACGCTTTACATTAAATATCGTCGCTTTATTCTTATTGTTTCTGCAAACAATCCAGAATCATATTCACTATTAAATACGCGAAAATTACGGACTTTTAACAAACGCATGTTTTTATTAATTTTTAATTTGCGTTGTTAGCACAGTTGATAAATATTTTTGATTATATCGATTCTGAAATTATACTTGTATAAAGCCTACTGTCCCATTTTCGTTCTCGAATAATGCACGAATCATATATTAAAAAAGCAAATGTATTTATAAATTATTCACTGGAAAATTAACTTATCTCCACCGAAACATTAATCGCGGTGAATTGTTATCTTATCTTTTAGGCAATAATTATAGATGATTTGTAAGAAACTTAGAGGTGAGCTAGTTTTTTTTTTTTTACGATGTTTATATACAGAATGCATATATCACGTTTGCTTACTTTATTATACATTCATACACGATAAAAATACATTCGTACATCGCCGTCAGAGAATCGCATATTTATAGATATCGGCGTTGTTTGAAGCAAATGAATGTATTACATTCGGAGCTCGGAGCGTGGAATTTTCTGCAAACGCTTACGTTTTTTCGCTCTTCTCGCCGCGGTCTCTCACGAAAATTCGTTACTGAATATTCTAGATTGGACGTGTCGCGAGAACGATTAACAGTCTAATCTGTTTAATACCGTGCAACAAGACTTGCGCAATTATCGTTGTATTCCGACGCGATCAACGAACGGGAGTCGAGGAGTCTCGGCGGGGAAGTAATCCTCGTACGAGACCGCCGCACGAACTTCCGTACGTGCACGTACGCGAGCACGTAGTTATGTATCCGCAAGCGTGATTATGCACGGGGCTTACCTTAGCCGCGTGTATTTATTTTCCGCGGCAGTAGCTCGTTTCATCACGCTTGCTTTCTTCCGAGCGCGATGCCCGTCGCTGGGTCTGCGGCCGATGCCTGGCCATTGCCTGGCCGATGTTGCAGCCAGTTTAGTTCAGTGACACCTACTCCGCAACGTGCGTTATTACGCGCACGCAACGCAAACGCACACGTCGCGCACGACGCGCGGCCTGTGCACGCACTTTGCGTATCATCCGTTGCCGTGCGTGCGAACTCGTGCTCCGACACGAATGCTCCGCCTGGCGTGGACACGGCCGAGAAAGCCGCGCACGGAAAATCTCTCGGCACGACGATGGCCGGTCTGCGTCTGCGGGCTACTATATCGTCCGTTTGTTTTTGCTCTGTTTACCTAGGCGCAGTTTACAGTGCGCCTCTCAGGGCGCGCTCGGTTGCGCGCGAGCTAAGAAAAGAAGCCTACCGGCAGATTAATTTGCTTTAACGCGTCAATTATCGTTGCAAAAGCAATTTGAAGAAATTGCGAGATTAGAAATTAGGATATAAAAATTAAAAATAAGAATTGCTGAGAGAAACAGAGCGTAGTTTTATTTATACACGCGCCAAGAAAATGTAATTAATAACGATCTGATAATTTGCTTTAATATGTTAATTGAAGGTAATTTTATAAAAATTGCACATTCGAAAATTGTAGCATTAAGAAACGTTTAAATTAAAAGCGAATGGAGGTTACATGACAGAAGCGCGAGCGTTTATATTACGCAACTAAATTACAATAATTTATGCTAAATCCTTCGATACTCTGTCAATTAATTCATCTTAATTTGGGGATCATCGCTGAATGAACAAGCAGCTTGTTCAATGGAATTTTAATTAATGGGATTTAGGAAATATTCAATGAAGGTTTCCTGAATAATGCTATTTGCAGAAAGATATACATAATTATTCTATAGGTAAACGATAATTCCGGTCTTCTTTGATTGCAGATCGAACGCGAGTTGATCCTGTCATCGGGAGACAAGAATTCCAAGATCCCCATTCTTCACGAGTACAAACAGAGAACTTCCGGAAGAGTCGCCATCGCACCGGATGCGCCGATCAAGCAACAGGCCTGGGTTCAGGAGGTAAGTCTGATTCTCTTCGATAATTCACGGTGAATAAACCGCACTGACTTCTTCGCGCTGTCCCTTCCGGATAATAGCGGCTAGCGTGTAACGAGATGCTTGGGTTAGTTAGAAATTTATTGTTAGTCCATTTTTTTCTTTTCCTGTATTTATCGCATATCTGCGTTCTCTTATTATTTTAGTATAAACGCGATGTATGTATATAACAGTAAATGTTAGTTTAACAATCTAATGGATCGTTACGTTCATCGAAGTTGATAAACTTCTGACGGTAGCTGGTGTGACGAAGTTTTCGTCCCACTTTGAGGACGGCTCTATTGTCTGACGATCATTACGAAATCCCTCGATTAATCGGGCGTCACGTGCGTGCAACGTTACGTACATGTGCCACCTACGCGAACGTCAATAGGCGTCAGAAACACGCGTGTTAGGCGGTCTCTTTTCCGGTTATATATTGATAACTTAAGAGATGGGTGTGGAAATTGAATTGCCGGACCGAAAGGTAATAGATCTGGTCTTTTGCACATTTTTTATGAATTACTATATTGATCTTTAATACGTATTGTTCTATTTATTTCCATACTTCCTCATACCTTTCTTTATTTTATTAATATGCTTTGAAATTTCATACATTTATATATTTTAATTTATTATGTCATATTTATTAAGAAAAAATTACGCGAGGATTTACTTTTCTTGAAACGCATATTTTTACAGCAAATTACATTTTTCTATTAATATCAATGTAATATACATAATGTAACAGTAAATTAGTTGATTTAATTTAATTAACTCGAATTAAAGCTGTATTTTTTAATTTAATATCTCCAAGTTCGGATTCGTTACTAGTTAGGAATGAAACATCTTCGTGATCGTACTTGGAGTAAATTACATCCTGCATGATCACCATCGGTGAGATTTGCGTTAACGACCATGAGAAAGAGAGACAACATTCCTTGGGTGGTATGACATTCCCGTGTACAAAAACAAGACGGCCTTAACAGTTACACGCCCATAACATACTATAAGTACGCCGCGAATCGGTCTTTTCTGTTTACGAGATTGCGCGCAGGGTAAACTGTGCAGTTAGTCGGTCCTCGGATAGTCGTTGGCCGGTTCCATTGATCCTAAAGATGCTCGCTTATGGTATGCTTCGGGCGATCAGCTCTGAAACAGTGATTGTGCAGCTCGCGTATACCCTGCGTGTGCCGACGACGCAATAAATACCAATAAATACAGGTATTCTCTCAGCATGGATATTGCGCCCATTTTATGACTGACTAGTCAACTTCATCGCTAAATTATCTCGATCTGCGCGGCGTAAAAATTAATAAATTTTCCGCTAACTTTCCAGAAATTCTCTAATCCTTATAATGGCAAAAATTTTCTTCTTATATTTACATCTCTTATAAGGCGGCCCTCGGGAATTTCTTCATTAAGTTGTTTTTTTTTTTTTTCATTCTTAAAATATTCTTATAATATCGTCACGGAGAATGCCGCCGTTGAATTTAGCGAAGGCGAGAAAGGAGTATCCACTTGACTCGCCGTAGATTACGATACAAATATCACGCGAGCGGAGCGCGCACCGAAGGGATCGCCTTTCCGCGATTTCGCACGTAGCCGATACGCTCCGGCGTGCAGAATGGCCAACTTTCGTTGCCTTTCGAATTACTTAAACCTACTTTACATAATACACATCATCGTGCGAGACGACACTTAATCAGTGCCGAACGTGTTCTGCGGCGGCGCCGTGCCAAGCATGATCGAGGCACACCGTATAGACCCATCACATAGCTCGTAAACCTATTTCCAGCGCTCTCCGAAACCGGGTGTTACTAACTTTGAGGATTCCGCATAAGTAAATTTTTCTCTACTTCTGTGGAAGCCACGTGTTGTAGCTTTCAGCCTTGTTTTCTCTTTTTCACGTCACGTATACGGCCGTCCCTGCTTTGAAGCTACAGTTTCGCTGTGAAAGTTTCTTCTTCAACGTGAAAACGGATTGAGAAGTTCGACTCCAAAAAAGAGCGTGCGTAAAGGGTGCAGAATGTAGCATTATTTTCCGTTCTCTCTTTTAATTTTTTTCTGTTTTCTTAAAGCACTACTTTATATTTTACATCATACTTTATATATTACTTTACATCATAATTTCTTTCTAAAAAATATAAAGAGAGAGTTTTAGATTTTCAATTGCAGTCATTTATTTTAGTAATATAGAAGACAATGAAGAATACAGTCCATATTCTTTCAATTTTTAATGTAAGATATCTTTGTTTTTGTCATACAATGTAATTGGGTTCCGTTCGTTTATCTTACTTTAGCTCCTTCAGTTTGGAAGGGTCTCTTATATAAAGGACATTCAAACGCGTCATCGGGGAGCCGTGATTTTTCGAGGCGTAGCGCGCCGCGTACGAAAAACTCGGCTTTTATCTCTCGCACGGCTGTAATCCCGGCACGGTATCAACGTGGCCATAAGTCAGAGAGCCTTTTCCGTATGCGCGATGCGTGTCCGCGGGGCCCTATGCGGCCGTTGTTATTCCAGGCGCATCTTTCTTCCCGAGAACCGTAGAATTCAGTGCGTTAACTTCGAAATTCCCCGTGCGGCCGAGGCAACGCACGCCGGGCAGTCCGTCGCCGTTAGCCAATGTCCTCCTTCGAAGGGAATTTTATTCGATCCTGGAAGGTCGATAACTTATTACTTTTACGACCACCGTCGTCGTTATTATACAACCGAATCGAATCATATCTCACGTCGCGTCGCATCACTGTATTCGTAATCTATTGCCTATTGCGACACGAGGAGTTTATCATATTAATTTAATGAATGCTGCTTTAGGGACAGATATATGGTTAGGGACGTCAATATGATAAAAAACTTATACAGTGTTTTACAGTTTATGGGTGACTAATTAAGATTTTTTATTTCTTGGCTACACATTAATATAAATCTTTCTGATCTCTCGTATAATTAATGCCATACATAATACGTTTTAGATAATTTATGCTAAATACTTTATCTGATTAATATTGCATACTCTTTTTACGGTTTCAATTAGTTAAAATTTTGCTGCTACAATAAGATTGGAATATTTTTATCATCTTTATTCTTAATTACTAAATGGCCATTTCTTTATATAAAATAATCATAATTATAAAATACAATATTAGAATTATTTGTCTTTGTGAAATGATTGTCTTTATGACTAAACAATAAACAAAACAATCACTATTGCGTAAGAAACGTTAATAATACTTTGAGTTTATTCTGCATTTTCCCATCTTTAAGTTTCTTTGGCTGATGGTATTTCTGTTTCGTTTGCTATAAGAACGTGCGGTTTACCGAAACATTACTCGTTTGGCGTCCTCTTTGCGAGGAAAGATAAATTCCGCAAATTACGTTCTTATGACAACCGTTCGAACTATGAATCCCTTCTACGGTCGCAACGTAACGGTTGACTTCTCAGTTGTCTGTGAAATTATGTAATCGGGATAGTTTGACTTTGCATAATTTCGCGGCAGCTGGCCCTGAACTATATGATCATTAAAACTGGGAGGACTTATTTCACTGAAGTCGCCGCTTTTATTAAACGATTCCTAGCGTGCAAGCACGTTTTTAGCAACAAACTTTAGATGAGTTCCGTTCGCTGGAAGTTAGACGACTTTGGGATACTACTTATGTCGTAAGTGCGCGCTTCGTGCTATGAATTGTTTCTCTAACAAGTTTCTCTAATAGAACACTTGCGGACGAATCGCGCGCGAAATTAAGGTGTTATGTCTAGATTGACGTTCCTTATTGGTTATTTTCCTGTGGCGCAGAAAGAAAAAGAGAGAAAAGGTAATATTACTATACTTCCCAACTTATTCACAGTAATGATTTGAGTAGTGGGTTATCATTTCTCAAGAATTTTATAATATAAAATGAATAGTTATTGTTTCTAATGGTTTTATAATTATTACTTTTATAATTAAATAATATTACAAAAACAATTATTTTAATTGACATCAGGTATAAAAAGAGGCTTTAAATTATTCAAATTGTCATTTTTAAAACCACAGTTAAAACTTTAACATGAAGAAAAAAAGCGATTTTTGATGTGGTCTCTCCTGAACCGCAAAGCTTACGGTCGTTTTTGTCTAGCTGAGCTATTTTATTACTATTAGACGCGCAAAGTACGTAAACAACTTTCCTTTAACACAATTTAATATATGCCCGTGCGTGGCGAATAATTTAATATATCAACTTGCTAACAACGGGGAGGCGAACTTATTCAATTTTAATTAGACTTCATCTCCCCTTGCATTTAGGTGTTTTTAATCGGAAGGCAAGTTTCGTCGATGCGTAAGTTGGTAAGTGCCGGATTTGGCGGGAGGCGCTGCCGCGTTTTTGATGCTACCGATGCGTAATTACCTACTCCTCGTTTGACGGCTTAATTGGACGCACCTAACGAAACCGCCGTTGCGGTGTTAGCGGATTTACATAGGACGTTACACACCCCGTAATTTGCACGTTTATAGAGGATACTTTATTAACGACGTGTGCCGATCATTAACTACGTGCGTTCACCAGACAAATTAATGCGTTTCTTTTTTTTTTTTTCAGGGAACTCAGATGCAGGAAGTAAGACAGGACGGCCAAGCGAGGAACTATCAGTCACAGGACGCCTACTCGTAATTACTTTATACTTACTTCACGCTCACGCGAATTACGGTCCTCCCTGTAAAGATAGAAAGATCTTCTCTAACAAGAGAGAAGCCCTTGCGTGCCTGTTGTTTTGATCTGAGATATCAACTCTTTTTTCCAATCTCACGTTTCGTTTATCTCGTATTGTCGACGCTAATTAAAATAAAAGTAAATCGCCTCCCGATCGTTAATTGCAATATTAATGACTGAGCAGCATTATCGTACTCGTGGTGCATATCATAATAACGCGTTAATACCCTTGAGAAATTAAACTTCCTATTGCTTCCTGTATTCAGATCGACGTCTAGCGGAGCGGTGCCGAGAACGACAAAGATTGACGAAGAAAAGACAAAGTCACTCTCCAGAACTTACCATACAATTAAGGACATGATCTCAAGCCGTTTCGGGCCGAGTCGCAAGGACGTCGAGCCGGAACCGGAAGCCAGTTTGAACAACGTCACGGAGGAGCTGCGAAAGTCGAGCAGGAGCATCGACGATGACGAGGCCAGGAAGAAGGAAGGGATTTACGGAAAACCCCGCGCTCAGGAGCCGTCGGTTAATGTGCAACAATATTCGAAGAATGCTTACGGTAAGTTGGACACGATCGAGCAAGATGCTGGTCGGGTAATTAAGCGCGTTAAGGCGCGATGCGCAGCGAGGTGCCGTTAATTAGCTCATAAATGTTGATGAATTAATTTGAGGAGAGATCCCTGTTGAGCGGAACGTTAAGTGGCGGAATTGCATGTTTTATAAATATGAAACGGCATGCGCAATTGTGTGCATAGTTTGAGTGCATAGCAACGGATCTTTCTGTCCCTTAAAGATGCACGAACTTTATATGTATATTTACAAAAAATTAGTAGTTAACATTATAAAGGTTTGTTTCTAAAGTTTGTTTCTAAAGTTTGTTTCTAAAAAGAAAAATATTTTTACTATATTGTTTATTGATTACTTTATTTAAACAAAGTGGTATTAAATTAACTAATTATGCAGTTTTTTAAATAGTTAATTACAATAAATTTGTAAAGTGTGTAAATACATTAAATACTGTTATTTAATTGATGCAAAAATTAAATTGAAAAATGGAAAGTTGCGATTTCCATTCGCGATCTTCAAATCGTCTTTAAATAACAATGTTCAACGTGACATTATCCGTCACAGCTGATGATTGATGCAAACTTATTGGATTCTATATACCTCTGATTTTTATTTAATAAGAGAGCTTACCTCGCCATTCGTAACTCACAACTTGTCGCTTACAACATACGCGCGACGTGAGACTTTCTTCCTTTTTGCGCGGCGTGTTATTCGCACTCGCTTGTTGTGCAAACTTGTAAATTCATAGAGACGGGAGTCTCGCACGCGCAATATCGCCGCCATTATTTCACGATCCGCCATAAACTTTAATACACGAATAATATCTCACTGTCTAATCGTTCACTCAAATCGAGATTAACGGTCAATAGATGAACGTTAAATCTCTACCAACGGATGTAAAATTAATGATTCATCAGTTTTGAACTATCAAATAAAATGCAGAAATAATTAAGAGAGGAAAGGACACGTTAATAAGAGAATAAGTTTTATTTGTCGAGTCGTTAAATATTTAAAGAATTATAGATATGTATACATATATGTTGAAAAAGGTCGGTGAGATTTATATTTATATATATTCTTTTATAATTTATTCAACTATTTCTGACGATTATTTTTATGTAAAGTGTTCCCTTAACATCTCATTCTCTGTAATTTTCACGCTTAAACGCCCTTTTAGCGTTTTAACTCTTCTCCGTAATTTCTATGACTGTAATAATGATTCGTTCACGAAATGTGTGCTTTAATGTAGATACGTAGTTGGCACATAAATAGAAGAGAAACTTTCCTTTTAATTAACTTTAGTAGTGTGCACTGCATATTCATGCATTTTAGCATTCCTGATGGCGCTCAGAAACGAGCATGTACGTTTATGATGCAACGTTTAGTTGCACGTTTTAGTAGTACTTCAATACTTCAGTGGGTGTTGAAACAATTACTTTAAATCTTTATGTAATACACGATGCATTTTTAACATGTAAATTTAACCAGAAATATAACAAGCTTTAACAGAGAGATAATATATTTAACAGAGAAAAATAGCTATTATTTTATTATTTTTATTACATGCCACATACATACGACCTTTCCTGAAATTAATTTTCTTCTCGTGTAATAGCGTAATGAATAGAAATTGTATAGAATATTTCGTCTCGTTGTTTAGGTCAGTATGGCCATTCATACGGCTATCAAAGCAACCAACAAAACGTACCTCTACCAGGCCAACTGCAGCCAACCGCAACCATTCAGCCGAATTTACCGGGACAGAGCGCTCAACTTCACGTGACCCACCACACCCCGCCAGGAGGAATTCAAACAGTTCATCAAACCCAAGTTCCTGCTTTCGGCCAAACCGCGACAGGTGCGCAGCAGGTGCAAAATGTTACGAGGGAGTACATGGTTCAGGCACCGGGCGGTATGACCGGACAGCAAATACATCAGGGAATCCATCAGAATCCCACGCAAGCACAGGTACATGTCACAAGATTAAGATGAGAAATGTTCACGTCGATGTCTAGCCTCGATAAAAATCACCGTGAATAAATGATATGAACATTTGATGTTAACAATTCCCGCGAAGTTATTGAATAATTTTCTAATACTTTCATGTCTTTCAGATGTCAAAATGATCAATTCCATAAAATAAAAGAATCGAGAAGTTAAGAATTAATATTTAAGTATCTTTAAATAAAAAACAGTTCTCTTTTTTCTTCTTCTTCTCTTCTCTTGAAGTCTAACCTATGGAAGTGTAGATTTTTTTATTTTAACTTTTCTTGTAAAAAGTTATTAAAATTTATTTAATTAAATTTATTGTTTTATATTATTTTAACTTTTCTTGTAAAAATTTTTTTTAAATTTATTTATTTAAATTTATTAATTTTTTATAAGGAAATACATGTTTTGTTTAAATGAAATATTGTATATTCCGCGTTGATGCGTAATATTGTCCGCAATCTTATAAGGGTGTAGGTATTCGTGTTGCGTGCAGGAAACGGGGACTCACCTGCAGATAAAAAAATAAATGTCTCATAGCTTGTCATCTGTCTCTTCATAGTGACATCTCCGTCATATAAATTCGAGTAAAGTAACAACGTAGTCGTCCAAGCAATCATGTTTTATACAAAAGGATGCGGAACATTAAACGGCATAATAATATTCGAGTGATAACGGAGCGTAATACGGCTCGTAGGAATGTTTTATCTGTAGTGTAATGATTGATACTTGTCTAACGACGCGTCAACATTTTAGTTTATTAAATAACGGTTGGTATAATGACGGTGAACGCGTGTAACAGCACTACGGCGTGCTAAATCACCGACGAACAGTGCGCAGTATATTATTCATAATGCTACGTCTCAGCAACTTTCTATGCTGTTGCGTACACGGTGGGAAAATCGTAAAGAAGTCTGTAAAATTTACATAACTACGCTGAAAATTGTACGGGATTACTTCTTTTTAATAACGCAATCCATACAGTGATGACGATCGTTGTCGATGCATGATCATTGTTGCAGTAGTTAGAATAAGAAAAAGTACAGAAGAGTTTCAACGCGAAAAATAACGATAAGTGACACTCATAAGTTCTCTCGTGAATAAAATATTATTTATAACAATAATTATTAAAATAATAATTGTATAAATATTATTAATTCTAGAAAAAGCGTACAGACGTGCAAATTACTTATTTGACAATAAGTTTATTGATATCTCGGTTGAACAATTTAAAAATAGGATATCGCAAACGTTATAAATAAATTTAAATAAATATTCTGCTTTGTAAAAGAAAGAAGGCAGTTATTGAACTTTAAGAACGAGTAAATTTGCCGTGTCGATACGCACGTCTCTAAAGGCTAATTAAAGCCTAACTAGGGTAGATTTTTAATACGTACGTTAGTGATTCTACAAAAAACACGGATAGGTATTCACGACTTAACGGTAACGTATTGTTAACGAGCCGGTTGGTTGATTCAGGGGCAAGGCACGCAAGTGCAAAAACCACACGGTCTATCCGTGCAACAGCATCAAGTGGGCAATGCGATGCCGTCGACGAGTCCGAGCTTCCAGAGCTCCCAGCAGTTGCTCCATCAGAACCAGAACCATCACCAGAGTCCGCGATTCGCGCAGCAGCACGCCCAGAACATGCATCAGCGTCAGCAGTTGATTCAGCAAATGCACCAGCAGCAAATGGTCGGCCAACAGGGCTCGCAGACTGCGAGCGCCCGAAATATGCTGCAGTCGTACTTCCCTAACAGCGTGTCCTATCAGCAGTATCAGCAGGCGCGACAGGCGATGTCGAGATCGCAGATTGATCTTCCGAGCACGTCAAGACAAGCGCAAGAACTCCGGGTATCGGGCCAAGAAGTCTACTATCATTACGCCCAAGGAAGACCTCGTTACGGCGTTCCCCAGGTATACATGAAGACCGAGAGCAATCAGGAAACGGAGTTTCAGAGGCGGAACTCCGCGAAGGGTATCGAGAAGGCGGCTTCGCAGCCGCAGCTCTGTTACGAGGACGAACGAAACGCCGAGGCTTCGAAGAATCCTACAGAGAATATGAAGAACTTAACGGTGGACCCGCTGGATAAAGAGAGGTAAGACTTGAAAAGAATTATCGTACTATAAGATTCTTTAGATTAGGCGAATACAACTAAAAATTCCGATTTAATACAAAGAAGAGAGAGTTAAAGTAAATTAAAGTATATTCTAGAGCTTTGATCTAAAGCTTAGATCTAAGAATGCTATGCATTTTAGATATGAGATTACAGTGGAAGATCGAAGTCAGTGTGAGCCCGGGAGAAACGGATTACAAAGGAACGAGGAGTACCGTCCGGAAACCAGCTTCGGCATTCGGAGAGACGAGACGCGATCCTCTAAGAGGGAGCAGGAGCAGGGATCGTCGGGTCAAGAGGGCGGTCAGGATACGACGGAGGGAAACTCTGTGCAGAAGAGGATCGAAGAGTTGCAGAAGAGAGCGGAGCAAGAGGGTCATTTTAACTCTAAGCCACTAAAAGACGACGCGGACGGCTTAAGGGTCGGCCTGGCTACGAAAATGATCGGCGAAGCATCGAAAAGGCTCGATGGTGGTGGACAATATAGCGGTAAGGAGCCCGTTGTGAAATCAGATAGGAAAGACGATCTGGAGCAGGGTATCGGCCGACTGAAGATCCAGAATCAGGGCTCGGGCTCAGATTACGACAAGGCCGGCCAGAGTTCTTCGAATGTCGATTCCGGAAGGGGCTCCGCGGTCTATTCGAGTGGAAGACGCCCGCCGCCAGATGATCAAACTTTGGCGCAAGGTAAGAATGGACTTTTTTATTTTACTTTGAACTCCTTTAATGTAGTCGCCTTACTACAGACACACATACTTTTTGGACTACTTTTTGCAGCGTCAGCTGTTTCCTATAAATAAAATATTTGTTATAAGATATAATTTTATTTATCGCATTTGTTGAAATTTATTCATATTTGCTTATTGTTAGCGTTTGAAAAAATACCAATTAAGGAAAATAATTATACGTTATGTAAAGAATAAATTTTTTGTTATTTTATTATATTAAAGTATTTATTATATTGTATTATATTATATGTTATTTTATTAAAGAGGCATGAAAATGATTATAAATTACTGTGCAAATTTACGAATAAATTACTTTGCATAAAAGCGTGAATACGATAAACGTTTAAATTAATATGTTTTAAAATGGTGATATTTATCTTTATTATATTTTTTTTTAATGTTCGCGATTAATTGTTTTTATTCTTTTTTCGAAAAGTTTGATTGCTCTGTCGGAGTCTGTGATTTCTATCTCCTTTTATAGTACAAGATTCCGAGTGGGTAGACATAGTGGAGTCGGAGTTGAGAAGTATTTTGGAGCCCAGGGACGTTCCAGCGATGGCGCACTCCACCCTGTCCGAAAGTGTATCTTCGGTAACACCGCCTCTGCCACCGCTGTCACCCCATGACAGCCCACGTACGCCGAGAAATCGATACTCAACGAGGTAGCCCAACTTCAAACAGGTTTCTCTTCTTCGTGCAACCGGTGTTACTTCCGGTCATGGCCTCGAGTCACTTCCGATTCTGTTACCTTCCTCGCGTATCGAAATTCCGATATCGATGTTTGACCGAAAAGTGGCCTCTACGATGTTAAAAATAAACACCTCTCTGTTGCAACTCTTAAATTGTTAGTCACGCGAGACTCGGATGCAAGATATTGATTTGGCGAAACGTTAGTCTTTAATTATTTCATTATTTTTAAAAGCATACTCACATGATTTTTTTAATGAATAATTTTTATAAAGCAATCTTTGGTTGCAAAGAAAATCTACTTTTTATGTAACATTTTCTATTAAGTGCGAGTTTCAAAGTGCGAGTGCTTTTAGTAATATTAATAAAAATGTTTTTGTTTTAGTTTACCGTATGGATCGAAACCAAATTACAGCGATTATAACAAGGCTATGGAAAAGAGAGGTTTTTCGAGCGGCACAAAACATCGTGGCGCTTCGACGTCCAAGAAAGAAACCGCGAAAAAGTTTTCTCATCGTGAGTATTTCTTTAGTTTAGATACACATATCATTATAATATTCATTTTCAATTGTAACAATTTTTTATTTTAAATATTAATCTTATTATTATACTTCTTGTATACAAGAATGTACAAGAATTTACCTTTATATTGAAAGAAATACGGTGATTATACAGAAATTATAATTAATTATTATAAATAATATTGAATTCTTTATGTTCAAATGTATATAATTCCAAGATAAAAGCTGTTTCACTGAGTATCAATTTTTGAAATTTAATATTTATGTATTAACACACATACTTTTTTAGTCTTCGGAGTAGAAGCTGCTGATTTAACATCCACCACGACAGGACTTGACTTGGATTCCATGTTAGACAGAAGTGACTCCGATCTTAGTACCACCGATGCAAGGACAATCAGGAAACAGTTGGAAGGATTAGAAAATATGTACAGCGAAGTGAGTACGATATTATTTAATAAAATCATCCTTTTTTGTTTTAATTTTTTTTCTGAGAAAATAAGGCTGTACAAAATCAAAAAGAGAAGATGAATTGCTTTCTACATTCTTTTAAATTAAAACGCATTTTGTGTTAGTAAATTTATTATAAAAATTAAAAACATTTTCTTATCACTTTACTTATTAATTTAATGTAACTACTAACTAAAGTAAAGGCGAGGCGCAGGACTTAACATTTATCTTACACATGCAAATTTAAAAATATTAGACATCGCTTTTTCTAGTTGTAAAGAAACGGCACTATATGCTAAAATTAACGGGGACATTGTACGCTGAAAAGTGCTCAGGATAGCACTAGCTTAATTGAATTTATTTCAATTTGCATACGAAAAAATTGTTGCAGGTACTTAAATTACTCGGCGGGAGCGTGAAAAAGAGGCGGAAGGCGAGAGGACTCACTAGTTATGGCTCGGTTTCGTCGTTGCCGACATCTTCCGTGTCATCAAGGCCTGTCACGAGGCATCACGACAAACGTAGGTCCCATGTGATTGACGACAGGATGAAAAAAGCCAAAGACATTAAGGTGAGTGAAGTTTACTTATATATATATACATATTTGACGTTGATTTTTATCAAATAATTTAATAATTTTTATTAATATCTATTTTCTTATATGATTCTCTATTTTAATTTTTGACAGAGAGATTAAAAATTTGGAACGTACTACATTTCTTGTCAATGTCGCTAAACGAATCCCTTGTAATAAAAGAAAATTACTAGTCTTCAAAATTGTTATATTTTAAAATTTCTGTGAAACATACTTTGATTGTCTAGAGCATCAACAAGCGTTTTCAGCGACTGGAGTCGCATGTGGTGACATTAGCAAGATCAGTGGCCCACTTGAGTTCGGAGATGAGAACCCAGCATTTGATGATTCAGGTGAGACAACCCATTAAAAACAGTTACGGTACGAAACGAACTGGAATTTCCAAGATTCTACTACTGTCAGGTTTTCGCAGGAAATGGAGAGCATAAAGTGCGAGATTGCAGCCCTCAGAACACAAACGAGCATGGCGATGGTGAGGTCACAGTCGCAGCCATTGATCAAGGATTCGGAACTGCCGGCACTTTCGAACCCTTCGAGGGTAAGGAAACTGACCAAGTTCTTCGGCACGGAGCCACCTCTCATCAGACTGTTCCTGAGGGAACTTGGGTATGAGGTATGTGCTATCGTTTGCTGTGTCATTCGCGGTTTTGCGAAGGTAAGACGACGGACAGATTCCCTTCATCAATCTGAAATCGCTTTTTCTTAGACAGACATATCGATTTTTCAAGCATTTTTCTGAATTATTTCTGAATGTTTTAGCTGAAAAAAAACTTCGTGCTATTCTTTGATCGAAATTTCTGTTTTTAATGACAACTATAATTTTAGAAATACGCGGCTGCTTTCGAGAAAGAAAAAGTCGGGATGGTGGAGTTGCCTTATCTGAGCGAGGAGAGACTTCAGAAGATGGGGGTTCCCCTGGGTCCAAGACTGAGGATCCTTCAGGAAGCAAGGATCTCAGTGTGCAAGGATCCGATTTACGTAGTATAAATCCTCAAGACGGCATAGAAATATTTCGCGACACAAGCAGAGGAATTGCGAGAAAAATGTAGATAAAGAAGAAAATGAAGAACGAAGATCTATCTATTCGTTTTGTGCCGTCGACCGATGAACGCGTTAGGACGTTTCTCGAGGCGTTTCTCGTAAACGAACTCTCGAGCTCGAAAACGATTTGTTTGAGCGACGGCTCTTTTCCTCGTTCCAATCAATAGCTATCTGAAAGCTACGCTCGCCGAAACGCTGAAATTGTTTCGCCTACGCCTTTGGGTCAATAGATTGTTTTGTCGTGAGTTTACCGCTATACATTGATTCCAAGAGAAAAAGATGCGACAATGTAGCCAATTAGTGAAATGGTAATTCAATTAACATAAAAGTGCTTTTGCTCGATAAAAATTTAAATTTCAAAAAATTACTTTTTGAACATGTTTGCGCATTGAAATAACTAAAAATTGGATATAGAAAATGCTGTTAGCACAAAAATTGAAATATCTAAAAATAATATTTTTCTAATAATGTATTGTTTATTGTTAGCACATAAATGGCATTTATAAACTTTTACATTGTTAGTAGCCGTCACATATATCGGCTTTTCAAATGAATTTTCCGAAAATACGCTACATATTGATTATTTCAGTTAATTTCGAACGTATTTGTTTTAGTTATATTTATATGACCTAGATATCGTCGTAATCATTCCTGGAATATTTCGCATTTTCTCATTATCATAAATCGATAATGCGTTTCTTCGAATATTGCGAAATAATTGACTTACGATGGAAGCTGAAGTATACGCTTTGAGATTAAAACACAGACTTACAAAACGTTGACATTATGAACTTTAAGTCATAACAAATTTGACGTTGTTTTGTAAATTTTTTTTGCTGCATCGAAAAGATAGTAATAAATGAGCACCAACGAGAAGTGAAAACTTGAACATATAATTATAACATATAGGGTGGGTGCGAAATCATAGTACAAGCGAAAACAAGGTGCTTTCTCGTGCTAAAATAAGAAATTATAGAATAATTTCTTTGTACGAGACTTCGTTTTGCAAATAAACGATTTTGAAAATCTATGAAGTACACGTGCATTTGATTATGGGTGTGATCCACTAGATACTTCAAACGCTTCAGAGCATTTTGTTCTTGTTTAACATTTAATAAACAACAAGAATAAAATGTTTCCAAGAGCATTTGGAGCGTCAAATGGATCGCACCCCACATCTCGACTAATGGATTTTGCTATAAACTGCTGTTTCTATTCGTGTTTTTGTTTTTAACATGAAAATTTTCAGACGACCACCGATTGTGTACATTAAAAATTCCATCTCTTGCATATCATACTCTCGATTACTGTATTTTGTTATCACGAGAACTTAACAGAAACTGATAGCTCAGCAAGACAATACGACTAATAGGAAATAAATCATAATATTGCTGATGTCTACGAACAAAAATAGTAGTTTATAGCAAAATCCATTAGTCGAGACGATAGTCAAGTGCATGTGTACTCGATAGATTTTCAAAATCATTTATTTCGAAAACGAAGCCTTGTACGAAAGAAAATTATTCTACAATTTTGACTTATTTCGGCACGAGAAATCGCCTTATTCTCGCTTGTACTATGAATTCGCACCCACCCTATATAATTTTTAGATAAAGCAAATTTAACAGTTTACGAGGGGGCCAATCAAAATGTAAATACGATACTACTGATACTATCGGTAGTGCTAGGAGACTTATGTCGTTCTTGTATTATACAAGAAGAGAAGTAGAGATAAAAAGACGATCCGCGAGGATCTTGACTATTTTCTCGTATCGTTCGTTAAGTAATGAGATTATACTGTAGAGATTATATAGAGATTTAGATTATTCGTGCGGGTTGAAAGCCGATGTTACGGTTACCGTATGCGGTAATTCGTGGCGCTGATAAAATCGACAATTATACTCGAGGTAAGCCGCGCACATTGGGAACAATGAATCTCACACAAGTATGTTTGCCAAAGAGACGTACCGACATCGTCGAAGTGGTATGGCCGAGATTTTTCTATTTTGCGCATTTTAATATATTGCAATATCTTTTTCTCGATAACGCCGCACGTTTTCGAATATCGATATCTTTAATTATTGCATTGCAAAAGCCGATACTTAATTTTGCAGGACGCCTATCTCCCGTGAACTGGAATACCGTATGTAAATGTAATTTATAAAACGTAACGAGGCAACCGAGATTTTTTTTCTTTATTAGTTCCCATTAGATATTTCGCATTATTTTAACAATCCCGCTTTTTCTTGAGATAGATAAAATTTATACGGAACAACTAGATATATCTGATATATCTAATGATCTGAAATGTTTTTTTCCGATATATTCTTGTACGCTTTGTATTTTTCACTATCCGAAATTTCGGTCGCATGGCAGCATGCGCCGCGTTATGTCGATACCAAAGAATCGATACCTGTTCCCTTGTCGCGACGACGACAACGACAACGATAATCGCTGCTTGTGATCGCGGGTCACAGGAACGAGAAGATACGTCACTTTGATACTCGAGTAAAAGAATTCTGTACTCTCATTCGAGAATACAGTAGACTCTCTGTAGACGTAGAATTATTAATTGATAATATGTATTATTAATGCATTGTTTATAAATCTGATTATGTACTTCCAGCAATTAGCTCCGATTAATATATTAAGAATGGTAGGCAAATTAAGCTGCTAGCTGGTGCTACGTATGTATTTCTATTTTGATTTTTTCCTCTTACGTACATATTAAGTATTGTACAGTTAATAAGTTCTCTGCAAATGTTTCTATTATTATATTATTATTATTGTATTATTATTATTTTTATTCTAATATTTGTATTATTAATATAATAATTATGATTATTATTATATCACATGTTTTGTTAAAATTTTGTATTTAATAAATGATGATATTATTGCAGGTAAAACTCTTCCAGGATTTGCTTAATACCGATAAATTTTCATTGGGTGCATGATGTTAAGTGGCTTGCAAAGCCACTTTAACAATATAACAACAATATAACAACTGAATATCAGAATTGACGTTTGCACACAGCATTGTTCCTTAATTGTTTCGTAATTTAGTATCGATGTTATCAGAAATTTCGAAACATTAATAGTTTCCGAATTACGATTGAAAATTAAGATATTTAAAGTATTACAAATATATATAAACAGATATATGTACATATGTACATATATTGTATCTTACAAGTAACTATTAGAATTCTTCATCGGTGTAACATTTTCTTCGCGACGGAGCCGTTCTTGCTCGTCAGAATCAGCGAAAATTCATGTAGTTTACGCGACGTGTTTCCTTTTTGCCGTGGCCGGTTCCTGCGTGAATCAACCGCCTCCAATTGAATAATTGCGCATTAGCTGTTATAACGTATGCCGTACGGGTCGGGCCAAGTGATCTGTTATTATGGTTCCTGACCTCGGGCCGCGCCACGCCGAGCCGCACCGGTAATCGGCGAAATAATTATTCCGAATAATTATTTCGCTTATGGTTATCCTTGATCGATTGTAACGAGGACCGGAAGACCCGGAAGTACCCCAGGAAGTACCTCCTTCGTGCAACGAGGATTTTAATTAATCGGGAGCTATATGCGCGTCTTACAGTTGCCGCGCTAATTGTCGCGTTAATTGCTTAATTTCTAATTGCAGAAACGTCTCGATGAGTGGATCCGCGCAAGTGGGAGGATAATTTTATTGAAATTTTAGAGATACTGTATGTATGTTGCGTACTACTCTCATGTTAATAATTGGTGAGATTTTTCTTTAACATTGTAAACAGATTATACAATTTACTTTTATATTGGTGCTTTGATTGGATTAATTCTTTAAAATTAAATAATTTATTTAAGCAATTTTTATGTTTAAGGTACTTAAGGTAAATTATTGCAACATTAATTTTAATTGAGGCAGACTATATTTGAAGGAGTTAAACGAAGTTTTTGACTGTGTAAAGCATGTTTTGCTAGAAATGGCTATTTAAAAAAATTAATGCATTTAGTTATTTAAATTATCAATGTTGCGTATGGATACTAATTACTAACTATTAACAATAATATGTTAAATTAAGAAAAATAATAATTTAAAATCTTTTTTAATCTGCAAAATAAACAAAGTAAATAAAGCTTTAGTGATGGTTTTCAAAATTTATACTTCAATCAATATTGCAACAATTAATATTGTAACAAACAATATTGTAACAATCAATATTGCAATGTTTACTAGAATACCAATTTTTTGCGTTCAAGCAATAAATAAAATTAAAATATCAATTCCACGTCTTGGCGCCGCTAATCTAATCTAACTCGGTCGGTCGTCCAGCTGCTTGTGTACCCTAGTTTGACCCTGTACAACCCACGAATATAATTATCGTAGGCGCCGCGGGTGGATCTAACAGTATAAAGATAAATGAAACTGATACGGTTGATATCCCTTCCTGGCGAACAAATTTATAAACACGAGAAGCGATTAAAGGGACAATATTCTAATAGACGTTGAACGAATAAGAGTCGTTTGATCGATGAATTTAACTGACGGTCGGGATGAAAAATAATATATGCTTCCGATTATGTCCGGCAAATGACCCACATTTCTTCTTTCTTTCGTAGATAAAAGAATCAAAGCGATTAAGTCTACAGCGGTCTCAAGGGATCACGACTCTCAGATGAGCTCGCACGTCGTCGCTTAGCGCGTATTGTAAATTTCGACAGAATCGACGGCGAGACCGTCTTCCGGCCACTTTTATCAGGAAATGCACAATTTAACAATTGTGGCCAATTATTTTTCTAGCGGTCTCGTCTTTGATTGGACATATCTGAGACCGCGCCACGTTGTGGACCTTTGTGATGCTCGGTGTGTCACCGTGTGTGAACTAAACGAACGATCGTTTATTGTGCCGAACTCTTGCATTATGTCTGCCCAAGGATGTTTTGCAGACCGAATCACATGATCGCAGTATGACCCTTCCACTAACAAAGTTGCGGAATAATAATTCTGCTACTTATTATTGCTAATTAATGAGTGGATAAAAATCAATTTAAACATTTTGTGTCACAATATGTAAATGTATTTTAATTATAAATATACGCATCAGAAAGTTACATATAATTAAAATAAAATAAGCATATATTGGACAAAAATTGTTTTTTAATTGTTACATGCAACAAAAATTTATATTAATAGATAAATAAATAAAATAAATATAGGTATATTGTGTCATTCGATGTACATTTTGGAAATGTCCAATATTTCCTTAAATAAATAATATAGATATTTCTAGCAACTTTTTTTAGACAGAAAAATCACTAAAATACATATATTATTAATTTAATTTTTTGCAATGTGCCATAAAACTTTAATTAATTCTCGCAGATAGATTACTTCGGAAATAAAATTAAAACCCGTGCGATCAATCTATGTCTAAAGACATATTACATATAGACTTCACTGATGACATTTCAGGTATGAACACATTCCGCATGAAACATTTAGAAAGCATGTGACACCTATAGTTGGTATAAAAGTGGATTTACTTTTAAATATGCAGGATAAAGGTACTCCATTTCTTTCGTGCGGTATTCATTTATTTTAACGGCTTTATCTTGAACGGTGTTACCTCGTGGCGATATTAAGTTTTATTATTTGTGACTATAATAATTATAGTCTATTATAAGAATTACAAATCTTTCTTTCCCTAATATTTTTATATTGACAAATTGCATTATAATATATTAATTGTTATTGATAAAATATAATGAATGTTAGATATTCTATTTCACACTTCGAGATCGCACATTTTAAAACATATAAAATATACAATTATACGTAAATGACAAACAATAATTTTATATTATGTAAATCAAAGCTTATAGTCTAAAATTAGTTAAGAGAATTGAAACATCTTGAACAAAATCAATTTTTAACTCAACTTCTACGAAACATTTTCGCCAACTAGTTGAGAATCGTTGATTGATCGTAATAATATATTTTTATAAAGCCGTTAAATTGTTGTCTGATAAATATTTCTTATATCTTGTAAATACGGGTACAAGGAAAACAATATGACTGATATGAATATATTGTTTATTTCATTAAATTATTGATTGGCGAATTATAACCATTGCGAAAGATGATACATTAGAGATTTAAGAACAACGACTTCACTTCACCAATTTAATTTGGAACATAAAACAGCACTCTTGTTCTAGTTCATTCCACAATTTCCATTTGAGATCATACGTTCGCTGCAATAAAAGAGAAAATATTCTTTAAATAATATTTTAAGATCAACTTGTGTTTGTTTTATATCAAAACTGCTTATGCATAGTAAATCTTTTGTCTACATCTCGAATTATGTTTAAGCTACATGTCTCTACATTGCTTTAGCATGTAAATATTTGACTAGATTGTCTAGATTTTAAAATAGAAAGTTATGGGATGTCAACAAACTTGCGAAGAAGTTTACAAAAAAAAATCGAAATGGAGATCGAAGCATCACTTACCGCAGGGAATTTCTTAGAGATAGGCAAAATCACTGAATACGTTTGTCTTTGACCAGGTGAGCTTGGGCAAACGGTAGATGTGCAGGCATTGAGCGGCATGCCCAAGAATGGCAAATCCACGATCTCAGAAGCCCAGTATGCTCTGGTGGATAACGAGCCATTGAACTCTGAAATAAAATATATATTCCGTAATACACGTTGAACTGTGTATGATTGCTTGAGTTTTAGGGAGTCTATACACGTATGAGTTTGGCTCGCAAGTCCGGCTCGGCTCGGTTTCTACTCGTTCGTGGGTGGGATTTGCACGAACCGGACTTGGCATCATACGAACCAAATTCGCACATTTTCCTTTCGTGTGTGGTGAAAAAACGTTCGAGTCCGGCTTGCGAATCAAGCTCGCCGAGCCGGACTTGCGAGCCAAACTCGTACGTGTATAGACCCCCTTAAAGCTGATAATTACGTTTTGGAATATAAAAAACATCTATCCATTTAATAATTAATTAAAGTAAAAGCATAAACCAAGGACATTTCGCAATTGATTTTATATAAATGACTTTTTATTTTTATTACAATTTTTACTATGATTTTTATTACGAAATGATCGCTTCGTATTTTGAAATATTCGCTTTTATAAGCGTCGTCAGCGAGCACTAAGATTATTGTATTGATATTTTTTACTAACAGTATTATTAAAAAATCATTCTATTTATTACGTTTTGCTAAAAACATCAATATAATTTACAATCGTTTTTTACAATAGTTATTGCTGCATCCTATTTTCTATAATCTTTTAAATAAATAATCAAATTGAATACAAAATATGTAACTGCACATAAAAAGTGTAACTAATTTTTTTTAAACACGAAGTTTGAAAGTATCTACTTAATCCACTGTATTTTTGTATTACATCTTCATGATTAATGTATGTCAGGCATATATGTGTAATACTTTGAGTATACGTACCAGGAGTGAAGTCAAAACTTATGCTTGCATTGCGACCCTTCTTTATAGAACAAGGCTTTCTTTCTTCGGCTTCGCTACATGGATTGACACGTACTTCGTGTATGGTGCATAGTTGTTCTGCGGCTGAAATGTAACGATAACAAGATCTCGTAGAGAATTACTTCGATATTTAAAGCCATTTAAAAAAGATCTTTTATACCTTGTGAGAAAGAAAGACAGAGAAAGAGGAGAGAGAGAGAGAGAGAGAGAGAGAGAGAGAGAGAGAGAGAGAGAGATGGGGGAGAATTCAAAACCTAATAAATTAATTTTAAAATTACATTATCTACAGTTATAGTTTTCTTGATTAGTTGATTATTCAACCATTAATAAAATAATAATACAAAATAAGTAAATCTCTTTTAAATTTGCTATTTCATTCTCGCGTTTCTCACTCATGTTTTCTGTTATTTTTTCTGTTTATCTTTCAAATTTGTTGCTCATTTGTGTATGCGTCATTTATCTCTACGCATGTTAATCAATCGATAATAAAAGTAGAGTAAATTGTTTATAAAATAGTAATCTATACGATGCTGTGTAAGAGGAAATTTTACTTGCGCAATACTTCTTTTGAGTTAAACCGATGTCCTGTTTACTTTCGAATTATCATCATGCGTAATCTGCAAAAGCCTCGTTTTTCTTCCGTATAAGGAATAATGAGATAAGCGTGCGTGAACTTCAGCAACGGAGAGAGAAAGAAATATGTGTGCAACGATGTCATTGATGGCACGTGTCATTGACGTTGTAATCTCTACAGATCGATGCAAAGTAATTTGAAATTGCGAAGTTTCTGCTTAAAGGAGGCAGATACGAGTATTTTCATCTTTTCCCTGCATTTTCCTATGAGATTATATATGAGATGTTTGATTCATTCTTCGCGAATATACATATATGACTCGGTTATAAATTATAACGCGCAAGTTTCATTGGGAAAATTTTTCCGAATATTCGATGAACATACACAGAGACTTATGAAACGTAAAATAACTCATATAACATATCTCTTTTATGTCAAAGTTTAACCGTTTCATTGATTCAACATGTTCCTCTACGAGAGATATATTTTGTTCGAAAAGTTTATCTGCAGCTCTCTTCCACGGAAAGTAAATTTAAACCTCAATGTTGTTCTCGTCCATGATAATTGTCATTCATATGGAATACTTATCAAAGAACATTGATGCGCAACGTTTAACTAGAGAGTTAACTTAGAGAGAGAGAATCACAGCGAAGCTAAACGTTGCGCGTTACAATATAGGGTAAGATATATAGAAAGAAAGGTGGTAGAAAGACATACAGAGAAAGAGAGAAGAGTTTTCTCTTATTTTATCATTTAACACGTTTCTGCGTTCTGTTTCTAATTAAATATTATTTTGTTACCATATTTTATTGTATTAGTATTCTATTGTAAATTTAATTTAAATTGAATATGTGTATCATCTTAATCAAATTTATCTGGACATAATAGGTTTGAAGCGTCCAATAAATATTGACGCTTTCTAACATGTACCTTGATCGAATCTTTGAACGTGCATAATTTGATGGAACTACGTTGGCTAAGCGAACGATAAATTTTCTTCTTCGACAATATTTAAAATTAATTTTTTACGGAGTTAAGAGAATCTTCACATTGTTATATTTTTTTATAGGATATATACAATAAAATCTAAAAACTTATGAAACCCATTACTCAATATCTTGCGGAAAGAAGAGATTTATAATGGGTTGTAAAGTGTGATCTTGTGTTCTGTAGAAGATTCATAATTCACATGACAAGTGAGAGAGAAAGACGAAGACGATGCTATTTCAGTCTAGTAGTCTCTTCTTTGTTTGCATAGAAAGAAGCATTATTGCTTCAATCTCAGTCTTTCTTTCTCGCTAGTCATAGTTTATAGGTCATTTATAGTTTAAGATAGCTAACTGCATCGATATTAAACATGCAATAAATAAGAAAAAGATATGGTTTAAATCCAAATCCTATAGTAAGTAATTTATTATTATCATTCAAAATGTTTGCATACTTGATTTCGTGTATTGTCGCTGTTATAAAAATTTCGTGATTTAAATCAATTGCCCAATCTCTCCGGAATAGTCAAGTATTTAATCATCTGAAGACAATAATCTTTAATTTAATATGTTGTTTGCTATCAATTCATAATACATTTTGGAATATATAATAAATTATTTAATAATAAACTTTTTAGTATTTGTAATCAAATCCTTTCTTAGAAAAAATTTTAATTTTTCGATAATTCCAAGTTATATTCAAAAGAGACTACTTCAATAAACTTTGATACGATCAATACACATTTATATTAAAATCAATAAGCAGAATACTTCATGATGGCAATGCGTCAGACTCGTAAATAACCTGACCCGAAATATACGATAGCTGTATCGAAGTTGGAAATAAAAATGCGCAAATGTATAAAAGTTGTCGCCGAGCCATTCCAGTTTCAAATATATCCGGCTTATTTACGCGCAATGCAACCGAGACATCGTAACCGCGTTAAACGAGAGTTCGTCGCTCCTGGGCGATATAAAAGCATGGCTATTAATCGTATCTACCGAACAGCCCGATTTTTTTCCTCAACGTCCGTCGATTACGGCGTCGAGCGCGAGCAAGGGTCGCGGACAACACGAGTGAGAAACGTGCCGTCACTTCCGTCGCTATTACGGTGCCCGCTCCTAGATCTCTCCCTCGAGATAACGTCGTTTGTGCCGTTTAATTAAGCAGATCGCGATCGTTAATTAAAATAGAGGTGGATACTCACAGGAGGGTGGACACGGCGTCCAATGTACGACTTCCGCGTAGACCGTGGACAGGGCCAGGATCAGGATCACGGCGACGGTGGCGAGCGCGATGTTTCGGTTCATCTTGAATGGACGGTGGTTCGTAGCCAAGTGAAAGAAGGTCGACGTGAGGGTCGGTCCACACATAACGCCAGATAACGGCGCGGAGAATCTGTGGGAGGGTGGTGGGGCCACAGGTCAATTGAGATAGCGTCTTGATCACTATGGAACCTATATGCGCGCGGCGACCGTGTCTCCTTCTCCGAGGAATCGCGTCACAGAGTTCCGATTTTACGTTTTATAACTAAACAGCGAGAGAGTTTCATGATAACTCTTGGTACCCCGGATGTTGAAGAATATTAAAATATTTATATTTATACTTTATCAATGATGATCGAATTGCCTCATCTGGATGACATATTCGACACGGGTTAATAATCCACGCATTTTTCTAGTGTGGATTTACTTCGAAATGTTATTTGTTAATGTGTTAAAGTAAACGCTACATAACAATGTCTGTTTTAACTATTACAGTTATCATAATTATGTGTAAGAAATTTTTTATAATTTTTGGCCAAAGAATAACAAAATAATTTCCAATTGATGTTAAATGTACTATGTGCGAGATTAAAAGAAGAGTTAGCTGTGCGACAATTCGGAGTATCAAGCAATAAAAATTACAATGTAAAAATATAAAAATTAAATATTTATAATTTTATCATTTAATATCATTTAATATCAACTATAATATCGTATATAAGAAAGTAAGAAGAAAAATATCTAAAAAAAAAAAAAAAATATGATCGCTGCGGACAGGATTCGAACCTGTGCGGGCAAAGCCCATTGGATTTCGAGTCCAACTCCTTAACCACTCGGACACCGCAGCTATTAGTATCAGGACTATGTACAATCGTACATGAGGAGTACGTGTCATGCCAACAACAATATTAAGTTAACTAAAGAGAGATCCTGCAACGGTATTACGTATAAAAATGCATTTGTTTAATAATAACATAAAATAAATCTCATAATAACTTATTTCAAATAAATTAATTTCGATGAAAGGTAAATGTATACATAGATATAAAATTTGAATAAATATATAAAATTGTTATTTTTATAGTAAAGCTTTTATTATAAAATATAAATGTAAATAATATTACTCAATAATAAAAAGTATTTTATTTAAAATTATAAATTAAAAAAATATTGTTGACTACATAGGAGCAATAATATTATTTTTTTTTATCTTCTTGTAGATAGATTATTAATCTATTTTAATGATTCCAAAAATTCAATAATATGGCCCTGAGAATCTTCTAAGATGGCGTCATCTGTTGGCCAGCCATTAATAAATGACTACATTTCTTCTCGTCAAACTCCATCGGTAAAATAATAAAAATAATATGTAACTTTATTGATTAATACTTTTGCAAATAAATTTACTTCTAAAATCTATTTATTTATTATAAGAACATTTGTTTTATTGTCATAAACAGCAAGAAGTTAATGTTTAATTTAGAAAGAATAATTAAAATACAATATAAATATTGTATTTTAAATAAAAAATAATTTCCATAATACTTGTTTAATCTTTTTTGTTTAAAATTGCAGTTCTTATGTTTTCCTTCTTATTTATATTAAGGGATGATTCTAAATAATAAAATCTCAACTTCAAAAGCTAATGTTACTTTAATTTTACGTTCTTGATTTTCTCGAATTTCAGACTAGATACTTATTACTACCATATATTACAGAGGAAGTTTTCGAAAGTGCGGTTCAACGTAATCGCTATACTTTCCGAATAATTTGCGAATAATGATATCCACGAGCCATGAGTTTATGTGACAGACATGCGGGATCAATGGCGCAAGTTGGCGAACAATGTTGTTCGCAGAGAACGTTTCGAGGATCGGCGCGATCAAGCGAATTCCGCGTCGTTCGCGCGGGACGACGCAATGCGATTAATGATTAATGGAAAACGTGAGTGCGATTTATCGCAACGCACACCGACCCGCTATTCATTCTCTGCGAACCACCGTTGTGTCTATTGTATCATATTGAATGCTCTTTATTACGCTTTAGACGTATCGCGCTCACGATTGTAAAAAAAACATTCATCAGACGATTATAACTGAATATAAAATTGTTCGTTTTCAGAATTTATTTCATAACTCATTATTGCTGTTTCTTATGACGCATAAATTAAAAAACTTGTAACTTGTTTAATTTTTTTACTAATATATAGTATCTTTTTCTCGAAGTATAATTCCATGTATCAACTTCCTGATTGACAAAGGCAGCGATTTTTGTCGTTTTCGTGGCAAATTGTTTAATTAACACAAACATATGTGGATAAAGCGGTGGGCTTTGCTTTTTCGTCAAATACTTTTACGATAATGAGATAACTATATAATTTACTCTCTGATAGATTATCTTTATGACATGATTCACAATGACATAAATTGCGTCAGCGAGATTGTGACGTAAGAAGATATAAAATACACACACCCCGATACGGAGGCGTCAACATGATACGAATTAATGAAGAAATTATTATCGAAAGATAATGATCGAAGTTCATCGTAAATTTAAACTTGGAGTATTTCTTTTGTTTAATATCGATAACACGAGTTTCGCGTTATTGACGAATCGAGCGAAATCATCGAAGAAGATATTCTTCGCGCCTTCGCAGATACATCTCGACATATTATGTAAAAACGTTTGCGTGTGTGTACGTCGCGTTAAACGTGGCGCCTTGTCCAAACACAGAAGAAGATCTATTCCCACGCCTAAAAAAAAATGACGATCTTCGCACTTCGTTATTTCGCGCGGCGCAGTATAATCGTCGCAGAAAGCAGGAACGACTCGTGAAGATTATACGGAAGGTGTAGGCGAATAGATCGAAGGATCCCCTCGGGAGTTGATATTATAATAAAGCGATGGCTCTCTCGGGAATGCGAAATCCGCTGGGCTGATTTGAATGAGAATGTTGTGCAAAAGCGGCCGGCCACGCGCGACGCCTCTCGCGCTCAGCACTTTTACTTCGCACGGGAAGAAAAGTCTCCAAAGGAAGTGGCGATGTTAGGTGAGCGAATGTGTAACCTACATTCGATACGACTGGCTGATCTCGCTCATTGTGATATGCCGAATCTGTTTTCGCCTCCGTCAAAATTTTTATTCATGTCTCTTAAATTAAAATGTATTTTCTTGTGCACATTTTGGTACAAGATAATGCACCATGTGCTGTCTGTTTCAAGGTGATGGATACACCTGAACAGTACCTGAAACAATACAATATCAAGCCAGAAATGATCAATTAGACAATGTTTAAATTATTTACTTTAATAAACATGCTATTTTTATGAAACTTATAGTTTGTATGTGAAATAATATTTATGTATAAATATGCGTGTAAGAATAATGTAAAAACTATAATAGATGTCAATGGATTGGAGTAATTAAAGAAATTACCGTTTTCTATTATAATTTTTTGATAATTAAAAACTGATAGTATTATGTCTTTATTTTAAAATTAATTTAATCGAATAGAGTTTATGTGCGTTTAAAGTATGCGCGCATTAATCTTTCTCCATGTGAAAAATTCCATCCGCACGAGACGTTTCTCGGTACATTAATGATAGAGCACGGTGTGGCTATAATGTACATAATGAGGCGGTAGTCAATGCGTTAGATGAACTATATAGAATGTGCATATTAATAAGAAACGAAATTGCTCGCATTTCTCATCACCTTTAACGCAGTCAAGCAATATGCCTCATGAACATGAAGAAATTCATGTATATCGGATAAGTACGCAACAACAATAAGATATAACATCAATCGTTATTGTTAATCAAGAAATAAAAACTTATAATTTAATTTCTTTTACGTGTAATATGGCAGCATGATAAATCATGGTTACAAACGATAGAAAATCTATAGATGCGTGAAGTGCTTTTAAATTCAAATTAAAAAAATTTAAATTAAAAAATTAAGAAGTTGAAGTTGATGCTAACGCGAGAAAAATAAAGAAAATGTAATATCTCGATCTTTAATAACTTTCTTCAATTTTGCTTTGTTTTTCTTTCTACTTCTGGCAATCTTCTCTCGCAAAAAAAATGCGTGTTGAGTATTTCTGCGCGAATATAAACTGCGTCGTATGTCATATAGAAATGCGGATACAGAAGGTTCGTGTCGGAAACCGCGATCGTCGATATTTATGAGAACCGGCGGAGCGTCAATGAATTATCCGGGAACATTTGTTCAACATATGTTTCTTCCGGATTCGGAGAGAACTGGTTTTCTTCTATAAAGGTCTACAACTTAATTCAAGGCCGATCCAGTAGGGATTTCAATTAACCATTTCATTATGCACCCTTATGATAGATATCCTCCTTGGATGCTAGTCTTATCCTTTATTATTTGTTACTATTCAATTTTTATTGGTACAAAATTGCCACCTTTCACATAAGTTTAAGTGTGATTAAATAATGCAATTAATTTTCCTCTATAAATAATAGAAAAAAAAAAATCACATCAGAAATGTTAACTGTTAACTATTTATAAGTTCAATTATCCTCTCTCTAATGTATATTTTATATCTTTTTAAAGAGCAGTATAAGAAATAAGAAGGAATAAAAAGGTCGTCACCCGAGAAAGCGAGATAACTCGATAATATCTTATAGACTTTGCAATTTATAATAAAAATTATGATGTTTTAAAATGTCGGGATTATCGTTTTCTCTCACTAATTGTAAGATCTAATCTTATGTATTAAAATTGATCAGACGGCGTATGACAAATGAAAGTTATAGCTTCTTCTGATATTAATTTCATAATCTCTTCGTAGCTAAATATTTTCGGTGAATATTAAAAGACTGCTGCATATTTGGAAATACATTACAAATATTTGCAGTTCAAATCCACAGATCATTTTTAAATAATGTTTGCCGGTAATGATTACAAAACTGTTTGCGTTTTCTAATATAGACAGTCGAGTTCAATTAAAGTTCCAAAGTACGATCACAGTAGCAAGGATTAATATACATTCAATCGCAGACTGCATAAGAGATAATTTATGTAATTATATTTATTTGATTAATTTATCTAAATAGGCGTACTTGCAATTTTTTATTTTCAAGAATTTCTTTTTAAATAATAAGCCTCCGA